TGTCTTGAAAAAGTTTCTTTTCCCATAATATGAGCAGGTAAATAAGATGATATGACAATGAAATGAGGATTTCTGCCCTTAAATGCGATTAATTAGATATTACAAACTTGAAAAAAAGATAATAGTTTTTTTTTTTTAAGTAAATCTCAATCTTATTACATTTGCAAATTATCAAGCATGCTTATTGTGAGGGATTGCTGAAGAGTCAATGAGTCGATGCAATCAACTGGTTTTCCTTAGATAGAAAACTTTGAACTTTGATCTGTTGAATTGTAAAGTGCCTTGAGACGACAAGTTGTGAATTGGCGCTATAAAATAAACTGAATTGAATTATCTTACCTGCTCAAATGAAGGGAAAATACACTTAAATCAAAAATGAACTTAGTGTATTTCCTTTTTCTAGTTGATGCTTTTCACTGCAAATATTGTCAATTCAACCAAGCCTTACAATCTTAGCTCTATCAAAAAAAAAAAGAAATATGATCTTGTTTTGATATTGATATACTAAGCAACAGCAGATTCTGAGAGATTCACCTTTTTATATGATTCTACTGAATAATTAGTGCAATAATCTACCAGTGCAGTGAGAAAATAACACTTCTAAAATCCTATATATCCTCAAGTCTTTGACTCGTCCTTTTCCTCAAATCATTTATCTTATCTTTGCAATTTTCTAATTGATTTAATCTGATGTAGATCTAAACACTGAGAAGAAAAACCATGAAAATGAACATTTACATAAAAACACAGAAAAGAGGTGCTATTACATTCATGAAGATTCAAGTTATATTTCTATATCCAAAATTATTTCTCCTCCCTTTTGTGTTAATATTCTCCTTTTTGTTTAAGGAAAAACTCATTTTACCAATCTATTATCTAAGATGATTCCTTCTCAAACAGTGCTACACTGCCCCCTGGTGGTATGCAGGGAACATAAGGTTTTTTTTTTTTTTTCTAAATAAAAACTTAAGTATTCAAATTCAAATTTGTGTTTAATCACATTAACATTTTCTAATTTGTTGGTGTTCTGCTTTGACAAGATCTCACAATATTTATATTTATTATAACTTAGGTAATTATTATTAAAATATCTCTTATTATGTCTGCTGTGGTGGGCATGCACCGGCCTCATTTTTAATAATTTTGGAAAAACTATTATCTTTTTTGGTTGTCATAAAGTGAACTATATATATATTTAATTTTTATACTTCAAATGTAAAATCTGTGAAGCTTTGGAAGAACAACACCATAAAAATCTATCAAAATTATACATAATAAACAGCTGTGTCTCCTTTGGAAACTATTTCTGTAGTAAAGTAGGAACATATTGCAGTGTTTAATTGGACTGTATTATGGTGGTACTCTAAGATGTCATGATAGTGTGAGGTGGTGCTTAGAGAGAAAAATTTTCTCAGAACAAATATATTATTAACGTAAACATTCAGGATTTAACGCAGAAATATTGATGTTTGACATACATGTAAACAAAAAGAGATGGGTTATTTTTTTTAAGATTTAAACTGTAGAAACTAACATGCAAAAGAAAGTAGATCAGCTCTAAGTTGGGATGCTAATAATTGAGCATTATTTACAGATATACGTTTCCCTGTTTGTTTATATAGAAGTCAGTCTAATGTAATCGAAACTAGTTTAGTTGTTTTTTGGTCAAATATATCAGTATGTGCGTCAAACAGAAATTATAGAGCAGAAACGAGGCAGATCAGACACTGGAGGTTCACCTCAGGGCAGTAGCAGCCAGGCGTGCACTCCCTCACCCCCAGGCATAGATCCTGGTTGCCTATCAGCGCACACTGCTTCTCACAGGGAGCTCCGCATGCCGAGTAAACAAACGGAGCTTCACAGGCTACAAGACAGGCAGACCCGGCAGGTTAATACAGACACAAACAATCAATCAGAGAGAGTTTGGGAAAAAAGTAAAAGTGAAGTTCTCACCCTCACACTGGGTGAGGGTGCAGGCCCGGCTCTGGGTTTCTACAGGAGTGCACTGCTGCCCTCCGGTGGCTGAAGTGAGAGCTACACGATAACGCTGCTGCCTCTGAGTCTCACAGGAGCAGTGGGACCAAATGCTCCACGCTGACATGGGACACACTGGAAAACAGAGCAGCTCATTCACACACATCTGTGGGTTTTCCTCAGACTGTTTAATAAAGTCGATTTTATATTCATGATGTGACAAAATGAAGGAAAACTAAAGACATAAAGCTGATTCCGTTATGTTGGGTTCTTCCAGTGTTTACCTGGGCATGGTTGGTGGTAGCACAGCTGGGTCTCCTCACTGTTCCTCACAGCCTCAACCTCAGGGGGGCACGCGGCGTCCCCTTCCTCCTCACACACGCACACCCGACGCCGGAACACGGACCCGGCACCGCAGCTCCGGGAGCACGGTGACCATGGCGACCATGGGCAAAGGTCATCTGGAGGGTCAAAGAAAATAAACGATAAAAAACAGGAGCTCTGCAAACATCTATCAGCTGGGGGAAGTTTTACCAACAAAACAGGAGATTAAAAGATTTTAGAGCTTTCACCTCAGATTGTAGGAGCCATTTATCCTTTGGTCTTTGTCGCCACCAGGGGGCGTATTTAATTTTGAGTTCTGAGTGTCTTATGGGGGGATGGGTTATTTAAGGTCAACCATCAATTCTGTTTAGGTGTTGTTAATAGGCTGAGGCAAACAGTTTTCTACTGTGCTTGGTTTGGATGTATGGCTAATTTATGTGGATCTTGAAGGAAACAGTAAGACAATGGATATGGTGCTGAAAATAACTGACTTTATTTAATGTCAAACGGAAGATCGGTATTCTGAATCTTAATTGAGCGCACGTAAAATGCCAATGCCTTAAAATAACAACCACCAGTAGCCTAAAATATAGGATTTTAGCCGCTACACTGATGGAGGGGTGAAGCTAATTAGCTCCCGTCCCTTTAATGTGTATCTGGACCCTAAGAAGTTGGGGATGGTTTCACAATATATGATTGATCTTTCTAAACAGTTAAACTTGTGTAGAAGTGGCTGCATGGCAGCAAAAACCTCTTAATGTATGCTGACGATTCAGCGGTTTCTTGATCTGTTTTCTATTCGAATATTTGAATAATGATGTTAAATTTAACTAATCAAAAACTGTTATTCTGATCTGTCTTACTAAAGAGGATAAAAGAAGAACATTTGCATAACTTTAAGCAATCTGACATTATACGATGAGTCTCTAATGAATGTAGATATCTGGGCAATGTGTGACAGATGATGACATTTACCATCAGTGCCATACGCACGCCACCTACACTGGAAAAAAATGAAATCTAGATAAGTCATTTTGTCTTAAAATAAGTGCATTTGTTCTTGGATTGAGGAGGTAAAAGAGACATTTTGCCAATGGATCAAGACAATTTACACTTAAAAATAAGAAAACACAGTTGCATTGTCTTATTTCAAGTGCATATGAGCTAAATATTTTATTTTAAGAGTAAAAATACTCATCCCATTGGCAAACTGTCTCATTTACCTGCTTATATTAATGGTAAATACACTTAATTTAAGACATTTTTACTTATTTCTAGATCGTTTTTCCAGTGTATCCCTCCATCCATCCATCCATCCATCCATCCATCCATCCATCCATCCATCCATCCATCCATCCATCCATCCATCCATCCATCCATCCATCC